CCTAAAGTAGATGACTACATTTAATCAGATGAATCACCCTCTCAACTCTGACTGGAGAGTCTTCACTGACTATTAGGAGAGCTTTGCCAGCAAGGTGTCTTTGGTGCCTAGATACCTTATGTCAGAACTAAATTAGAAGTGAAGTGAGATTCATGGCACCTTTGCTAAAGATAGGTTTCACTCTATCCTCAGACTTGCTCGTATAGTAATGAAGCAAACAGGCAAAGCAGTAAGGTAGGCTTGTACTGTCTGACAGAAGGCTTATTTGAAGACTCAGTGTCATAGATGGCTCTTTCTTAGGCCTAGTTTCCCAGGAAGCTAGACTGAAAGAACACATTGTTCTGTCTTAAACTTTTTTTTTTGGTCATTAAAAGCAGAAAGTTCTTCACGCTCTAAAAATGTAACCTTTCGTAAGAGTCCCAGCATCATTTAATACCATCTAATAGAATTATCCAATAGAACTAAGTATTTATCTTGTATGGATTGCTTCAGGATAGAAGTAGTTTCACACTGAAGCTGGAAGATACAGAAAATTGGCTTTATGAAGATGGTGAAGACCAACCCAAACAAATTTACATTGATAAATTAACAGAATTGAAGGTAAGTGGTTCTTAAATTCCTGTAGGAATTTACTGATTCTAGAGAGCTTCATTCAAGTGGGGAGCTAGCTTAGTTGCTACTGTTCCAGATCAGCACTGATAAACTAATTAACCTGCTTATTAAGTATGTAAGGAGCAAATTTCTAATAAGCTTGTAACAATACAAAGCAGGCTGAAGGAGACTGAGACCCCTTTTCCTGTAAGGGGAGGGAAGAATGCAACTTCCAAAAAGCTTGGAAATGCTCGTCTATACTGTCAGAACTTGCGGCTGACTGTGGTTGGTTGGTTGGTTTGTTGTTTTTTTTTTTTTCCACTTGATGCTGGCTGTTTTTTGATATCTGTTATACTTTGTTTCAGACTCTGGGTCAGCCTATTCAGGCAAGATTTCAAGAATCTGAGGAAAGACCAAAAGCATTTGAGGACTTGGGGAAACAAATTCAACAGTACATGAAAATTGTTCATGCCTTTAAAGCAAAGGTATTTTCACACTTAATTTCTGGCAAATGCAAGGAATTGTTGCAAACCTGTTTTGGAATTTTTTTAAATAAGCTCCTTTCAACAGAAGGCTGGTGGCAACCTCCTGGTTAGTTTCTAAATTCTCAGTGTTTACCGTCTTAGAAATGGATGTTAGTTTGAAAATCTGATAGTCCGCTTTTAATCAGATCTTGTTTCCCTCATGGAGGGAAAACTGCTGCAGGAGTAGAACTTCAGTTCTCTGTCTGATTACAGAGCTGTGGGAGACCTGCTTAACTGCTCTGCTAACAAAAATAGCTTTCTGGGTAAATGGAACTGCTGTTTTTAGTATTTTTCAAGGTAAAGTTTGAATGAAGAAATAAGCAGTTTAGATATGCAAAACAAATATTTGCACAGCTACTACTACTTTGGCTGTTTCAGGATGAACAGTATGACCATCTAGAGGAAGCAGATGTAGCAAAAGTGGAGAAGAGTGCAAATGAAGCCATGGAGTGGATGAATAACAAACTCAATCTTCAAAACAAGAGAAGTCTTACTTTGGACCCAGTTATAAAAGCTAAAGATATACAAGCTAAGATTAAAGTAAGTCTTTCTAAGTATTTTACTACATTTCTGAGAGTATTTCACAGTCTAGTTGCTTTTGTGCTATGAGGTGACAAATTGGTAGTACAAGGGCAGTGCTTGGGTATTAATCTGTTAAACATGTATTGGTCAAACGTCAACACTCAGATTGGAACATCTAGCTGGTATAGTCAAAGGCGAATATGATCAGCAGGTTGATACAGCTGTACAACTGTTGATAGATGAAACATCTCTAATACTTTTGTTCCTGTGTTTTCTAGGAATTGACCAGTACTTGTAATCCTATAGTCACAAAACCAAAACCCAAGGTTGAACTCCCAAAGGAGGAGCAGAAACCAACTGAACTGAACGGACCAGTAGAAGGCCAGGGAGATGCCAACAGTGGGTCCCAGACTGCTGAAGAGAGCACTGCTGCAGCTGCCCCAACAGCTACAGAAAAGAAGCTTCCTGAAATGGACATTGACTAAATTTTAGAACTTGTTTATATTACTGCAAACTACAATAAAGCTTTAAGTTGTCAACTTTGTATGTTCTGAATACAAACTGAAGCCAGTGAATACCACAGGGCTCTCAGTAGTTTCTGGAGAAGCTTGGTCAATGTCAGAACACCTAGATAGCTAACTACTTGGTCAAATAAGCTGCATCTCATGCCATAATGATTGTATTTAGAAGTTTCGGGTATTCTTACTAGACCTACAGAAACAGCCATAAGCTGATCCTCTGTTTTTAATCATCTCCATGCTGAGTCAGTCTTGTTCTAAAGAAGTGAGACAGCAGAAAACCTTATAAAGTCTAACTTGCCACAGTTGTTTCATTCACTTTCTCTTGTGGATTATAGCAACAGTGTTCCTAGTGTCTATTAATATTAAGGAAGTGAAGAGATAATGGGGGGGGGGGGGGGGGC